TCTGTGTGCTTGCCCGGCTCTAAAATGGTTCTAAATGCTGCTGTTCACTTTTCAGGGTTGATTACATGTGTTTATGACTGTGATGTTGGGTTTTAATGCACATAAAATATTTTAGGACACCATTTGTTTCAGAATCTTTTTTTCTTCATTTCCCTTCTCTAAAAACTGGTGCGTCTTATGGTCCGGAGCGTCTTATGGTCTGAAAAATACGGTAGATCACAAAAGAAAGCCATCTACCGCATTTCCCCGAAAATAAGACATCCTCCGAAAATAAGGCCTACTTCCAGGTTTCCTTCTGAGTGAAACAGAAGGCATCCCCCTGAAAATAAGCCCCCCCCCCAGGCTCTGTCTCAGAATGCTATTGCTACACGTGAGAGATTTGGCCCACTGATTCTGAAAGAAATGGAGTCACAAGAAATTTACCAGGAAACTCAGGAATTGGATTGTTAGGATGATGTTCCAGAGGATGATGACATGATTGTCATTGAATCAATGAGTACATTCTTGATACTGCAGGATCCACAGTGTGTCTGGTTTGTGTTGACAGCGACCGTACTACCGTACCATATACAGGTAATAGATTTCCTTTATTTTCATTTAACAATAAATGTGTGCCGTATTCTTCTTCATGGAAAAAAAATAAGACATCCCCTGGAACTAAGACCTGGCGCATCTTTGGGAGCAAAAATTAATATAAGACACTGTCTTGTTTTCGGGGAAACAGGGTATTTGGATCTCCTAGGCCTCTATCGGTTTTTGTTGTTGTTTTGTTGTTGTTGTTGTTAGTTCGTGTTACATGCCACACAGAGGATGCCGGCGGGAAAGTGGCCTCCGGTAAATGGTAGTTCAGGCTGCCAACCCGTCGGCCCCCACCACACACACACACACACACACACACACACACACACACAATCCCGCCCTCGAACAGTTATATGAAATCGTCTCCTCGTACGGACGATGTCTGTGATCTCGCCATGCACGCCAGCCAACATCAAAGCCCCTTTTCCCAGCTCCCCGTCAGCTTGTCAGGAGCCCTGGCCTTATTTTCTGATTGCTTTCTGGTCGTACTCATTGGGGAAGGTAACATTTTTATATGGGCAGGGGTGATATTTCGTGATACACCGTCCTGGCTTCAGACAGCGATCAGGACAGCCTAGCTAACGGTCCGAGCTTTCCTTTGCAAACACTTTTTTTATTTTGAAAACCTAGGGTGATGGTGTTTTTTTTTTTATATATACGTTTTTAAAATCTAGTTCTCATGAAATCCATCCAAGAAACGTTTGCAAAATGGCACTTAGAAATGGTCACAATTTGCCAGAACTGGTGTGGCTCAGTGGATAGAACATCGGCCTGCGGACTGAAGGGTCCCGGGTTCGATTCCAGTCAAGGGCATGCACCTTGGTTGCGGGCACATCCCCAGCGGGAGGTGTGCAGGAGGCAGCTGGTCAATGTTTCTCTCTCATCGGTGTTTCTGGCTCTCTATCCCTCTCCCTTTTACTCTGTAAAAAAATCAATAAAATATATATTTTTAAATGGTCACAATTTCATTGTTGTTTTGCATCAGCTGCAATGGGCAGGTTGCATTGCTTGTAGAACTGGCCGCCTTAGTTAAAATGACCCTTCAAGATAAAGAAAAGAATGTATCATAGAGTGTAAATGTCTTTTTGTTGTTGTTTCTGTTTCTCCCCCCTTCTCTCAAACTGAGGATTGTGTTCAGACATTTGCTACATGGGCAGTTAGCGTCCTTCTGTTTGTTGTTGTTGTTGTTGTTGTGTGTGTGTGTTTGTTTTGTTTTGTTTTTGTTATCAAAGGTTTCTGAAGCTTACCCCTGAAGTCTCGCTAATGTAGGTTACAAAAGAAAGCAATAGCCGAAGCCGGTGCGGCTCAGTGGGTAGAGCGTCGGTCTGCGGACTGAAAGGTCCCGGGTTCGATTCCGGCCAAGGGCATGTACCTTGGTTGTGGGCACATCCCCGGTAGGGGGTGTGCAGGAGGCAGCTGGTCGATGTTTCTCTCTCATCGACGTTTCTAGCTCTCTATCCCTCTCTCTTCCTCTCTGTGAAAAAATCAATAAAATATATTTTTAAAAAAGAAAGCAATATATTTGGATCTCCTATTGCTCTATTGTTTTTGTTGCTGTTGTTGTTGTTGTTAGTTTGTTTTTCAAAAACAAACACCTGGGTTCGGCGTCCATGATCACATTTGCCTGTTTTCCTACCTTTGTGTGATTAGGACTAATCATTTTTAAGGGGGGGGAAAAGGCACAGCTGTTAAATTATTTTGGCACGTGGTTTGGACTTTGATTTATCGAGATCAAAGGACCAGCCTTTCCCCCCCACCCATCACCTCCTTTGAACTAAAGCAGTGAGAGAACATGACGTGTGTGTCACACACACTTTCTGCTCGCAGGTAGACCTGGCCGGACATCTGTCCTCCCCCCGCCCCCTGGCCCGCCAGCCCGCCCTGTCCATGCCTTCATCCATCCCCACCCTCGTGGTGAGGACCCCGAAACCTGCCCGTTCTCCTTCTGTGCCTTCCTGCTTCCTGAGGCTCCCCAAGTCCGAGCTTGCAACTCGTGCTCGGGGCATACAAGGTCTCCCCCTTTCTCAGAAGCCTGACGGCTTCAGGAACCCATCAAAGAGGCTCCCGGCTGCCCCCATCTGGACGGCTTATCCTCATCCTCCCCCCTCGCCCCAGGTAGCCTGTCTGGGTGGGCTCTCGCTGCCTGGGACAGACCTGTGCTCTGTAGCAGCCCCGCCTCCTGGGCTTAATACACATGTCTTTAAAAAAAAAAAAAAAAAAAAATATATATATATATATATATATATATATATATATATATATATAATTGATTTTTTTACAGAGAAAAGAGAGAGGGATAGAGAGTTAGAAACATCGATGAGAGAGAAACACCAATCAGCTGCCTCCTGCACATCCCCTACCGGGGATGTGCCCGCAACCAAGGTACATGCCCTTGACCAGAATCGAACCTGGGACCTTTCAGTGGCAGGCTGACGCTCTACCACTGAGCCAAACCGGTTTTGGCTTTTAATATATATTTTTATTGATTTCAGAGAGGAAGGGAGAGGGAGAGAGAAATAGAAACATTAATGATGAGAGAGAACCATTGATCAGCTGCCTCCTGCACACACACACACACACACACACACACCCCACTGGGATCAAGCCCAGAAGCTGGGCAGGTACCCTTGACCGGAATCGAACCCGGGACCCTTCAGTCCGCAGGCCGGTGCTCTATCCGCTGAGCCAAACCGGGTTGTGTGGCCTCATCTAATTTCATTCATTTATGTTCTAATACATAGCTCGAAAAGAAAAGTCTTTTATAAAAAAGACGAAAGCAATATCACCATATACCACTTTAAAAAAATTAACAACTCTTTCATGCCATTCAATTTCCACTATTCCGATTTCTTTGATTGTCTCATAAACTTGATATTGCCACTGCAATACGGTCCATATGTTATCTCTCTCTCTTTTTTCCTTTTTTTAATGTTATTTTTATTGATGTCAGAGAGGAAGGGAGAGGGAGAGAGAGATTGAAGCATCACTCATGAGAATCATTCATCAGTTGCCTCTTGCACGCCCCCCACCGGGGACCGAGCTTGCAACCCGGGCACGTGCCCTTGGCCGGAATCAAACCCGGGGACCTTCAGTCCCCAGGCCAACGCTCTATCCACTGAGCCACACCAGCCAGGGCGTATGTTGCGTATGTTGCCTCCCTCAATGTGAAGATCTACACTTTACCTTTTTCCTTGCAATTGATCTGTTGAAAAAGCTGGGCTGGCCGAAACCGGTGTGGCTCAGTGGACAGAGCATCGGTCTGCGGACTGAAAGGTCCCAGGTTCGATTGCGGTCAAGGGCATGTACCTTGGTTGAGGGCACATCCCCGGTCAGGGGTGTGCAGGAGGCAGCGGATCGATGTTTCTCTCTCGTCGATGTTTCTAACTCTCCATCCCTCTCTCTTCCTCTCTTTAAAAAATCAATAAAATATATTAAAAAAAAAAAAAAAAAAGCTGGATGGTTTGTCCTGTGGAAGGGCCCCCTGCATTTTCCTTCCTGGTGGTATCATTTCGACATGCCTCTGTCCTCTGTGCTTTCCGGGCTTGGGAGTTGACCAAGAAGCTCTGTCTAATTCAGATTTCAACATATCTTGGCAAGAACGCCCGTGGGTAATGGATCTATCCTTCCATCCCAAGGCAAAGGGGCTGGCTGTCATCTTCCTTAATTAGGAGGTGAGGAATGCTGACGTTCGAATTCCTTCTTGCTTTATCACAGGAATACTTCTGCAGAGAGGATCTTGGCCTCATCTGTGATTTGGTTGCCCTTGAAGTACAGTTTCTATTTTAATATATTTTTTAAAATTATATTTTATTGATTTTTCACAGAGAGGAAGAAGAGAGGGATAGAGAGTTAGAAACATCGATGAGAGAGAATCATCGATCAGCAGCCTCTTGCACACCCTCTACTGGGGATGTGCCCGCAACCAAGGTACATGCCCTTGACCGGAATCGAACCCGGGACCCTTCAGTTCGCAGGCCAACGCTCTATCCACTGAGCCAAACCGGTTTCGGCTCATCATTGATGTTTCTGTCTCTCTCCTTCTCCCTTCCTCTCTGAAATCAATAAAGAAATATATATATATATATATATATATATATTTTTTTTTTTAAAGTGTGTGTGTTTTTAATGTGACTCTTCACCTTTTGCACGTCCTTAATAACCACCCAGATGTTCCCTTCCAGCCCCTAATCTTCCCTACGTCTGTGGTCTGTCCTGTCCTGCAGAATATCTGTGTGCTCTGTCCCCCGGCCAGGGTCCACCATACCCACCTGGGCCTGGCACGGAGTGGGCACACGTGGCCCAAGGAACGTGGCTGACCGGAGGTTTTGTTCAGTACATGCCGTGTGTCACACACACACACACACACACACACACACACACACACCTGGACATGCTAAGCGTACCTGTGTTCTCTCTTGCAGGCGATCGGCTGTACTCTGAACTGCAGCTGCCAAAGTTTCAAGCCAGGGAAAACGAACCACCGCCGGTGTGAGCAGTGCAGACACGGATGGGTGGCTCACGGTAACTTTATCTTCTCTCTCCCTCCTTTCCTGGCTGGAAGTATTCCCTTTATGTTTATTTTTTTTTAAATATATTTTTTATTGAGTTTTTACAGAGATGAAGAGAGAGAGATCGATTAGCTGCCTTCTGCACGCCCCCCCCCCCCACTGGGGATGTGCCCGCAACCCAGGCACATGCCCATGACGGGAATCGAACCCGGGACCCTTCCGTCCGCAGGCCGGCGCTCTATCCACTGAGCCACACCGGTTTCGGCTAGTATTCCTATAAGGATAGAACGGCAGCGAGCATATGTGTAACTTTCTCCTGCGTGCTAAGAGCTCTAGATGTGCCATCTCTTTGATAGCGACTCCATACGGTGCGTGTTTTGTTAGCCCCGTCCTAAAGGCAGACACAGCTGAAACCGGTGTGGCTCAGTGGATAGAGCGTCGGCCCGCAGACTGAAGGGTCCCAGGTTCGATTCCGGTCAAGGGCACGTACCTTGGTTGCGGGCACATCTTCAGGAGGGAGCATGCAGGAGACAGCTGATGGATGTTTCTTAGTCTCTATCCCTCTCTTCATCTCTGTAGAAAATCAATAAAATATACATATATTTTTTAAAGAAATCACATCATTTCGCCTAAACCGGTTTGGCTCAGTGGATAGAGCAGACTGAAGGGTCCCGGGTTCGATTCCGGTCAGGGGCATGTATGTTGGTTGCGGGCACATCCCCAGTAGGAGGTGTGCAGGAGGCAGCTAGTCAATGTTTCTCTCTCATCGATGTTTCTGACTCTCTATCCCTCTCCCTTCCTCTCTGTAAAAAAATCGATATATATATATATATATATATATATATATATATATATATATTTTTTTTTTTTTTTAATGACGTCCCTTCTCCCTCTGGCTCCCCAGCGCTCAGCAAGCTGCGGTTCCCAGCCGTGTACCCGGCCAGCCCGGTGGAGATCGTGCAGTACAACGTGGTGTTCGACATCAGCAGCCTCATGCTGTACGGCACCCAGGCCATCCCCGTGCGCCTCAAGATCCTCCTGGACCGGCTCTTCAGCGTGCTGCAGCGCGACGAGGTGCTGCAGATCCTGCACGCCCTGGACTGGACCATCCAGGACTACATCCGGGGCTACGTGCTGCAGGTGCGGCCCCTCCCCCCCTCTCCTCCCGCCCGCGTCCCTGTCCGCATCCCTAAGGCAGCCCAGCCCCCCGCCTGCCAGCGCTGCAGCCCCTGCGGGCATCCTTCCCTTTCGTCTTTTCAAAAAATATATATTTTATTTATTTATTACAGAGAGGAAGAGAGAGAGAGTGTTAGAAACATCAATGAGAGAGAGAGACATCGACCAGCTGCCTCCTGCACACCCCCCACTGGGGATGTGTCCGCAAACAAGGTCCATGCCCTTGACCGGAATTGAACCCGGGACCCTTCAGTCCGCAGGCCGACGCTCTATCCACTGAGCCACACCGGTTTCGGCTCATGCTCTTTTTTTATTCTCAGTGAGCACACACACTTGTGCGCGCGCACACACGCACACACGTGCACATACACAGGCACGCACCTAAACACACACACAATTCTCTTTCGGCCTCTTCATATTTTGTCTCTGTCTCTTCATAAAGGAGAGAAGAAAGGCGTGTTTCTCTGTGTCTTTCATGCCTTCTTTCTTCTTTTTATGTGCAGAGCACTTTTTGTTGGTTTTTTATTATTTTTAAAAGATATATATTTTATTGAATTTTCACAGAGAGGAAGAGAGAGGGATAGAGAGCTAGAAACATGGATGAAAGAGAGACATCCATCAGCTGCCTCTTGCACACCCCCCACTGGGGATGTGCCCGCAACCAAGGTCCATGCCCTTGACCGGAATCGAACCTGGGACCCTTTAGTCCGCAGGCCCACGCTCTATCCACTGAGCCACACCGGTTTTAGCTGGAGAATGAGTTATTCACAGTGAATTTTTTTTTTTTTTTTGCATTTCTTATGGTTCTAGAGAGGGTCTCATAGACAGCCTATAAATATAGATGGTGACATACTCATGCATGTCAGTTCCCTAGTACGCCAAAAGCAGTTGGGAACCACTGACCCTTTTCTGGAAATCTTTTTTTTTTTTAATATTTTAAAAAAATAGTTTATTGATTTTTTACAGAGAGGAAGGGAGAGGGATATAGAATTAGAAACATCGATGAGAGAGAATCATCGATCAGCTGCCTCCTGCACGCCCCGCATTGGGGATGTGCCCGCAACCAAGGTACCTGCCCTTGACCGGAATCGAACCTGGGACCCTTCCGTCCGCAGGCCGACCGACGCTCTATCCACTGAGCCACACCGGTTTTGGCTTCCGGGGTCTTATAACCTAGACCCTTTCCCGGGGAATCTTAGGAAGTAGGAAGGATATTCCCCTTTTCCGTTGGAAAAACCAGCATAGCTCCACGCTGCTTCTCAGTCTTGCGGGAGTCCCTCTGCTCCTATGCAGCCGACCGAGAGTCTGAACTCCCACTTTTCTGAGGGCCAAGGCCATGATCCTCCTCTGGAAACACATGTTCCCCTCGCTAGCAGGACCCCCTTCCTCCCTCTCCTCCTCCCCCCCTCCCCGCCTCTGCAGGTCGGAACCCCACCTTTGACGCAGAGCAGCCTTATGCTCTTGCATTACGACAGAGATCAATATTTAATGGTTCCTAATAATCTTGCTTTGGGATTAAGAAATATGGACTCAATTACCTCGAACCCCCGGCGCATGAAAAATGCATGACGCTGCATTCCTCGGCCTCTTCGGAGCGCTCACCATGCACCGTGAGGAACCTCGCCAGGCCATCTCGGTGTGCTCTGTGATAAAACATTTATGGCAGCGTTGGGGAGAGCCGGGCCTCGCTCTCGTTGAAAGATCTCGGGCACGGCCGGGGTAATTACAGCCGTGCTTGGCGAGCACGGGGCCGGGGATCGATCAGGGTTCCTTTGTTTTCCGGTGGCAGTTGCTTGGGCGGGTTATGAAAATGCAGTTTGAATAAACCACTCGAGCCATAGGGAGGTCCGACGGCTCCCTCTAGAGCACATGTGTCAAACACAAGGCCCGCGGGCCAAATCCGTCCCGCCAGGCCTTGCAATGTGGCCCGCACCGCGCTGTCATCCCTGCACTCCGCTGCGTTTCCATCACAATGACAGTTTATGACTGTTCAGTAAACCATTCGGCCCGCGATTCAGGCTGGATTTTAGATTTTGGCCCCTTCTCTGATTGAGTTTGACACCCCTACTCTAGAGTCTTGGGATAAAGAAGTTACTGTGGTAGTCGAAGCCGGTTTGGCTCAGTGGATAGAGCGTTGGTCTGCGGACTGAAAGGTCCCGGGTTCGATTCCGGGCAAGGGTGTGTACCTTGGTTGCGGGCACATCCCCAGTGGGGGGGTGTGCAAGAGGCAGCTGATCGATAACTCTCTCTCATCGATGTTTCTAACTCTCTAACCCTCTCTCTTCCTCTCTGTACAAAATCAATAAAATATATATATATATTTTAAAAGTTACTATGGTGACCCTGGCCAGTGTTGCTCAGCGGTTAGAGCGTGGCTTTTTTGGACTGCCACTTACGTTTGTGCAGTATATTTTCTTTCTTTCTTTTTTTTTTTTTAATATTTTTATATTGATTCGAGAAAGGAAGAGAGAGGGGGAGAGAGAGAGAGAATCATAAGAATTAATCGGCTGCAGGCCCCCTACTGGGGATGGAGCCTTCAACCTGGGCATGTGCCCTCGACCGGAATTGAACCTGGGACCCTTCAGTACACAGGCCCCACGCTCTATCCACTGAGCCACACCGGCTAGGGCTACAGTCTATGTTCTGTACAGTTTCTGGCCTAGGAGAGGGGCTTGAGTGGGGACTGAACTCGACCAGCCCCCGGGCTCATCCTGAGAGGATGTCATTTTCAAATGTGCCCAGAGGTGCCCTGTGGTGCCCGATAAAACTCAATAAAATATATATATATATATATATATATATATATATATATATTTTAATATATTTTATTGATTTTGTACAGAGAGGGAGAGAGATAGTTAGAAACATTGATGAGAGAGAGTCATCGATCAGCTGCCTCTTACACACCCCCACCAGGGATGTGCCCATAACCAAGGGACATGCCCTTGAACGGAATCAAACCCGGGACCCTTCAGTCCCCAAGCCGACACTCTATCCATTGAGCCAAACCGGTCCCGGCAAAATATATATTTTTTTAAAAACAATACAAACTATATATATAAAAGCCCAATGCCAAAATCAGGTTTGGCTCAGTGGATGGAGCGTTGGCTTGCAGACTGTAGGGTCCCAGGTTCGATTCCGGTCGAGGGCATGTACATTGGTTGCGGGCACATCCCCAGTAGGAGGTGTGCAGGTGGCAGTGGCTCGATGATTTTCTCTCTCATCGATGATTCGCACTCTGTATCCCTCTTCCTTCCTCTCTGTAAAAAAAAAAAAAAAAAAAAAAAAAAAAAATCACACACAAAAAAACCTATATATATAAAAGCCCAAGCAACCGAACGACCGAACGACTGGGCTCTTTGCCATATTTGTTTTTCTGTTTGTTTGTTTTCAGGACGCCTCGGGGAAGGTGCTGGACCACTGGAGCATCATGACCGGCGAGGAGGAGCTGGCCACCTTGCAGCAGTTCCTGCGCTTCGGCGAGACCAAGGCCATCGTGGAGCTCATGGCCGCCGCCGTGCAAGAGAAGGACGATCCCGCGGCCACCGCCATCATCGCCCCAACCTCCTCCTCCTCCTCCTCCTCGGCCAGTGTGGCTCAGCGGTTAGACCACGCGGACCTCCGGGCGTTCCTCGAAGCCTGCGGCCAGCGGAGCTCGGACCGGGGGAGCCCCAGCAGCGTGCACCCCTCGGAGAGTCTCCTCCAGGGCATGACCTTCATGCTGCCCTTGCCCTTCTTCAACCCCGTGCTGCCCGCACTCCTGGGGCCGCCGCTGCCCTCCGAGGGGTACGTGCTGGAGCAGGGGCCGCCGCCGCCGCTGCTGGACCAGGGCACACCCCGGCCCTTCCCCGAAGGCGATGATGTCAGCTTCCTGGCCTCCGGCTCCGCCCCTTTTCCTGGGGGGAAAGATGACGTCAGCTTCCTGGCCTCTGGCCCCGCCCTGTTTCCTGGGGGGAAGGGGGCGTGTCCCAGCTGCCCCGAGGCCACGCCCCCCAAGGAGGACAGCCACGCCCCCGACAGCGATGCCGCTGGCGGAGGCGGCACCTGCAGCATCGTCTCCAACCAGCAGAGGGCGCAGCAGCCGTCCCCCGAGGCCCGCGCCAAGGCCGAGAGGCCCGGGCCGGGCCCGGCCAGGAAGGGCCGCGTGTGCTGCACGGCCTGCGAGAAGACCTTCTACGACAAGGGCACCCTCAAGATCCACTACAACGCCGTGCACCTCAAGATCAAGCACCGCTGCACCGTGCGGGGCTGCAACATGGTGTTCAGCTCGCTGCGCAGCCGCAACCGCCACAGCGCCAACCCCAACCCGCGCCTGCACATGCCCATGAACCGGAACCACCGGGACAAGGACCTCCGGAGCAGTGGCGGCCTGGGCCTGGGCCTGGCCTCCTCCGAGGCCTCGGGCCTCCTCCAGGGGGCGTCCCCGGACCACCCCGGGCCTCTCCCCGGTGCAGGGGCAGGGGCAGGTGCAGGGGAGGATGCCAGGGGCACCACAGCGGCGGTCTTGGGGCACCACCACCACCACCACCACCACCACGGGGTGCTGTTCCCCAACCTGAGGACGGTGCAGCCGGTGCTCCCGTTCTACCGCAGCCCGGCCACGCCCGCCGAGCTGGCCACCACGCCGGCGGGCATGCTGCTGCCCTCCCTCCCGCTGCTGTCCTCCTCCGTCTCGGAGCAGCAGCTGGTGTGCAGCGACACGGCGCTTGCCTCCGAGGCGCTCCTGCCCAAGAAGAAATCCCGCAAGTCCAGCACGCCCATCAAGATCGAGAAGGAGCCCGAGAAGGGCATCGGGAAGAGGCAGGAGCTCGGCTCCTCGGAGGCAGAAGACCGGCCGCTGGTGCAGGTGGCGAGCGAGGACGAGCTGGAGGCCTGCAGCCCTGGGGGGTCCAACGATGGGGCCCTGGAGGGGCAGCAGGCATCTTCAGGATGCCCGGGGCAACCAGCTGGCCACCTCTCGTCAGTGATCGAGGCCAGGGGGGTCATCAGCAGGCACCGCGAGCAAGGTGCATGCACCCCAGAGAGGGAGACGGAGCTGGAGCAGAAGCCGGGGGTGCTGACGCTGGAAGACAGCGGCCGGGAGCTGCGCATCCCTCCCGGGCTGGAGCCCTGCGTCCCGTTCCCCGACTTTGTCAGGCTGCAGCAGCACCTGCTGGCCGGGGGCCTGCTGGGCGCCTTGTCCACGCGAGGCGTGGCCTTCCCTTGCTTGGAAGACCCCGAGGACCTGGAGCCTCAGGTCCGGCCCATGTTGGCGAGGCAGAAGGAGCAGAGCCGCCACCGCCACCGCCACCTCTGTCAGAAGGCCTCCGAGGATGCGTGCAGTGTGAAGGCGAACCACAAGGAGGCGCACGTGTGCACGGTGGAGGGCTGCCACGCCACCTTCCCCTCCCGCAGGAGCAGGGACAGGTGAGGCGCCTGCAGGCCGCTGTCTGTCCCACTGGGCAGCTCTGTAGGGTCTCTTCCTGCAAGGGGGGGCATCTAGTTAACTATGATAAAAGCCTAAGAAGGGCCAAAACCGGTGTGGCTCAGTGGATAGAGCATCGGCCTGCGGACTGAAAGGTCCCAGGTTCGATTCCGGTCAAGGGCATGTACCTTGGCTGCGGGCACATCCCCAGTAGGGGGTGTGCAAGAGGCAGCTGATGGATGATTCTCTCTCATCGATGTTTCTAACTCTCTATCCCTCTCTCTTCCTCTCTGTAAAAAAATAAAATAAAATAAAAATTAAATTAAAAAAAAGCCTAAGAAGACAGATACTACCGTGTTTCCCTGAAAATAAGACATAAGACATCCTCCGAAAATAAGACCTAGCGCATGGAAAGATAAGACATCCCCTGAAAATAACTTTGGGAGAAAAAAATTAATATGAGACACTGTCTTCTTTTCCGGGGAAACAGGGTACTATCTGGATCCTTTAGCCAGGCAGTCCCTTAGCCCTCTTTTTCACACAAAACAAACAGATGTCCAAAAAAAAAAAAATCACTCAGGGCCTGCCGGTCAGTCCTGGCACTTTATGAACAGGGAGAAAAATGTAGACCCTCTCCCCACACTCAGAAGCACACACACAGAGGAGAGAGCACAGGTGATAGTGGTTAAAATACCTGTGTCCACGGCTGAGATGTTGAACCAAACCGCCAGGACTCCCTGCCTTCCCCATCCATCACCCAGGAGGAAGGTCTGTTTGTGAACAAGATGTTATCGTGAAGAAGAGAGCGGTGTGTCAGTCGGATTGTTCTTCGTGTTGACGATGCTGTTCTGGCCTACCACGTCTACTAAACCAGAAGTTGTGCCGAATTTCAGATAGGATTTAATTTTCTGTCCCTTTTTTAAAAATATTTTTTTAATTGATTTCAGAGAGGAAAGGAGAGGGAGAGAGAGAAACATCAACGATGAGAGAGAATCATTGATCGGCTGCCTCCTGCACGCCCCACACTGGGGGTGAACCCACAACCCTGGGCATGTGCCCTTGATCAGTATCGATCCCGGGACCCTTCTGTCCACAGGCTGGCGCTCTATCCATTGAGCCAAACCGGCTAAGGGTTATTTCTTTTCTTTCTTTTTTTAAATTTTTTAAAAAATATATATTTTATTGATTTTTTACGAAGAGACGAAGAGAGAGGGATAGAGTGTTAGAAAGATCGATGAGAGAGAATCATCCATCAGCTGCCTCTTGCACCACCCCTACTGGGGATGTGCCCGCAACCAAGGTACATGCCCTTGACCGGAATTGAACCTGGGACCTTTCAGTGTGCAAGCTGACGCTCTATCCACTGAGCCAAACTGGCTAAGGGCTATTTCTTTTTTTGTTTTTTTATTTAATATTTTCTTACTTTCTGTCCTCCTCACACATACACGCCTCCTCCGCCAGCACAGGAAAACATCTTGCTTTCTGAAATTAAAGTACTAGTTCTAGTAGCCTGCGCTCCAGCACAGAATCGGGGGTTACCATGGTGCCAGGTGAACTAAGACACTGTGGGCAGCCCCGGCTCCACCGGCGAGACCTTGACGTTTCTCTCTCTCTCCCTTTCCTGTCCTCTCTGAAGTCAATAAAAATGTGTTTTTAAAAAGAAAAAGCCAAAACCGGTGTGGCTCAGTGGATAGAGCGTCAGCCTGCAGACTGAAGGGTCCCAGGTTCGATTCAGGTCAAGGTCACGTGCCTTGGTTGCGGGCACATCCCCAGTGGGGGTTGTGCAGGAGGCAGTTGATCGATGTTTCTCTCTCATCGATGTCTCTAGCTCTCTATCCCTCTCCCTTCCTCTCTGTAAAAATATCAATAAAATATTTTTAAATAAATAAATTTAAAAAAGAAGAAGCCAAAACCGGTGTGGCTCAGTGGATAGAGCATCAGCCTGCGGACTGAAGGGTCCCAGGTTCAATTCCGGTAAAGGTCATGTGCCTTGGTTGCGGGCACATCCCCAGTGGGGGGTGTGCAGGAGGCAGCTGATCGATGTTTCTAACTCTCTATCCTTCTCCCTTCCTCTCTGTAAAAAAGATCAATAAAATATTAATATTTTTTTTTTAAAGAAGAAGAGGAAAGTTAGCGGAGCCCACAGCCAGCTCCTGGCATTTGTGGGACACGGGCGCTGAGCGTGGGCCCAGGGCCTTGTTCTGTGGCAGCAAAGATTTTGCCATGCAAGGTTCGAGTTGAAAATGTTTGTCTGGCTTTTTTTTTTTTTTTTTTTTTTTTTTTTCTCCTTCAACCCTTGTACGTACTGGAATCTGCCTGTCATCCCCGTGTCTGGTTTTCTGCTGACACGTTCCTGCCCCCTCCGCCCAGAATGCTGACATAATCACAGGTCAGAGTTGTAGTTAAGAAGAGCCGCCTGCAAAGTGGGTGATCTGGGGGTGGAATCTGATGATGGTCAGAAAAAAACAAAGGACATGGAAGTGGCGGAGAGAGGAGAGCCGTCGAGGAGTACATCTGAGGCAGGCTTATACCTCCTCCCCTCATCATATGTCTTTGGAGAGTTAGGATAGAAAATTCAATCCTTAGTTATTTTGTGTTTTGTTTTCTCCCGGCATGCGTTCTGAGCTGTACTGGGGGAGTCTGTTCCCTGTGTAGCGTCATTCTCCTTTAAAACCGTAGCCCTAGTTTGCCAGGCTGGTGTGGCTCAGTGGTTAAGCAGCCAGAAGATCACAGGTTCGGTTCCCAGGAAGGCCATATGCCCGGGTTGCGGGCTCCATCCCCAGGGTGGGGCGCGCAGGAGACAGCCGATCAGTGATTCTCTCTCATCATTGATGTTTCTCTCTCTCCTTCTCCCTTCCTCTCTGAAATCAATTAAAAAAAAATTTTTTTTTAAAAGATTGTAGTCCTTGGAAAGGGATGTGTTTTGCTCCTCAGGTTAGCACGGAATCTCTGAGCAAGGCCGACCGTGATTGACAAGTTCCAGCCCAAATGATATCATGTGAGGCCAAGGCCCATGTCATAATGGGCACTCTTTACCTGCCCCTCAGGGGTAATCACCAGGTAGCGGATGGGTGATTGGTGGTGTGCTCACCGTGCTGCTGCATTGGCGAAACTCCTGTCTGGTAACAGTGAAACGTTGCAAATACAACTGAATGGTTCTCTCTCTCTCTCTCTCTCTCTCTCTCTCTCTCTCTCTCTCTCTCTCGCACTCATGCACGTACACACACACACACACACACACATACACACAAGCTCTACTGTCTCTAGCCGGTCAGATTTTCATACCTATAGAACTAGGATGATATGCCTGCCAAATGCTCAAGACCCTGATGCAAGCCACATAGGAAATTTTTAATTTTTAATTTTCTAGTAGCCACATTAAAAAAAAAAAAAAAGAAAGAAAGAAGCCCTAACAAGTTTGGCTTGGTGGATAGAACGTGGATCTGCGGACCGAAGAGTCCCGGGTTCGATTCCGGTCAAGGGCATGTACCTCGGATGCAGGCTCCTCAAAAACCTCGGGCCCTGGTCAGGGTGCGTGCAAGAGGCAACCCATTGATGTGTTTCTCTCACATTGATGTTTCTCTCTCTTTCCCTCTCTCTCTAAAAAATCAATGAAGCCAAAACCTGTGTGGCTCAGTGGAAAAGGGCGGTGGTCTGCAGACTGAAAGGTCCCGGGTTCGATTCCGGTCAAGGGCATGTACCTTGGTGGCGGGTACATCCCCGGTGGGAGGTGTGCAGGAGGCAGCTGATCGATGATTCTCTCTCATCGATGTTTCTAACTCTCCATCCCTCTCTCTTCCTCTCTGTTAAAAATCAATTAAAAATATATATATATTTTAAGCCCTAGCCCACGTGGCTCAGTGGATAGAGTGTCGGCCTGCGGACTGAAGGGTCCCAGGTTCGATTCTGACCAAGGGCACATTCCTGGGTTGCGGGCTTGATCCCCAGTAGGGGTCGTGCAAGAGGCAGCTGATCAACCATTCTCTCATCATTGATGTTTCTATCCCCCCTCTGTTCCTCTCTGAAATCAATAAAATAATATATTTAAAAAACTTTTGAGACCGGTTTGGCTCAGAGGATAGAGCGTCGGCCTGCAGACTGAAAGGTCCCAGGTTCGATTCTGACCAAGGGCACATTCCTGGGTTGCGGGCTTGATCCCCAGTAGGGGTCGTGCAAGAGGCAGCTGATCAACCATTCTCTCATCATTGATGTTTCTATCTCCCCTCTGTTCCTCTCTGAAATCAATAAAATAATATATTTAAAAAACTTTTGAGACCGGTTTGGCTCAGAGGATAGAGCCTCAGCCTGCAGACTGAAAGGTCCCAGGTTTGATTCCGGTCAGGGGCATGTGCCTTGGTTGCGGGCACATCCCCAGTGGCGAGGGAGGGGGGAGCAGGAGGCGACTGATCGATATTTCTAACTCTCTCTCTCCCCTCCTCTCTGTAAAAAAAAAATATATATATATATTTTAAAAATAATATATATTTTCCCATTGATCATATATATCTATATATCTATATATATAGATATATAGATATAGATATATATAGATATATAGATATATATGATCAATGGAAAAATATCCTCGGGTGAGGGTGAACAGAACAAATCACAAACACACAGACAGCTCAGCCCATATCTAACCGTCTTTCTCGCTCTTGCAGACACAGCTCCCACCTCAGCCCCCACCAGAAGGTCCTGACCCAGGAGGTGCTGGAGAGCAGCGGCCAAGGCCATTGCCACACCGCCACGTACCTCCTCAAGGACATGGCCCAGGAGGCCTACCTCCGGGACGTGGCCTTCCCGCCGCAGGCCTCCCAGACCTCCGTCATCTTCAAGGGGGCCAGCCGGACGGGCGGCCTGGGGTACCCCGTGGGCCCCCAGGACAGCTACCGCCCTGGCCCCCCGCCGCCCGGCGAGGCCACCGTCCTGGACCTGAGCGCCACCTCCAGCCTGAGGTCCGAGAGCAGCAGCCACTCCTCCTGGGACTCCGAGGAGGACAGCGACGGGAACAGGGAAGCCCCCAGCCTCGTCCCCCCCCAGGGAGGGGGAGGGGGAGGGGGAGGGGGAAGAGGAGGTGGAGGACCCCATCTGCGTCCTGATGGACAAGGCGGACCGCAGCCTGGCCGGCCTGGGCCTGCCACCGCCCGCACCCGGGCTGCCCATCACCTGCCACCTCTGCCAGAAGGCCTACAGCAACAAGGGCACCTTCCGGGCGCACTACAAGACGGTGCACCTCCGCCAGCTGCACAAGTGCAAGGTGCCCGGCTGCGACACCACCTTCTCCTCCGTGCGCAGCCGCAACCGGCACAGCCAGAACCCCAACCTGCACAGGAGCCTCGCCTCCTCCTCCCCGGGCCCCCTCCAGTAAAGAAACACACACACACACACACACACACACACACACACACACACACACACACACGGCATTGCTTCCGGGAGAGAAGGCAGAAAACCAGGGTCCGTTATGTGCATCTTGACTTTCTGGTCCTCTACCCCCCGGGATGAGCGGGCGTGGACATGGGACGGCCTTGGCTGTCATTTTTGTTTGTTTCTCAGCCCGGGACACGGTTAAAAACGTGCAGAAATGCACTTCCACACCCCCTCCCCTCGCAGATCTGTTTACACAATCTCCGGGCCTGCGGATGGACAATCAGAGAGGCTTGCTGGATTTTGACTCTCGGTGGAGGGTGCCGGGAAAGCACGGGAACTGAAATCTGGGTTTCAGACTCTTGAGATCTGGAGCTGAAAAATGGATCTTTTTTTTGGAGTGGGGGGGTGGTGGCTTAAAACGATGCACTTAAAAAATAGCAGTCTTCGATTTAATTTAATTCTGATGGTATTTAATGTGTGTGTAGAGGGATGGGAGGTACGGGGTGAATGTGGACGTGTCCCAGGGGTGACCTGGGGTGGGGGGGGTCCTCGATAGAAAGCAGGACGAGGGATGACCTACACGTCAAACCCGCTGCCCGTGTTCACTGGGGGCGGGGTTCAGAGTCCGCTCTGGAGGGGCTGGCAGGACCGGTTGTGTGTGTATTTTTTGACCCAGGCGTGTAGAGAGTGGTCCAGAGGGTGGGTGTGCATCGGCAGTGTCCCCGGATCCCTCTGTCATTCATCCTTTATAAACCTGTAAAGATAAGGTGACCAGACGTCCCGATTTTTAACAATGTGTCCGTGACCCGCGGCACATTTTTGGACAAAAATCGGGACTTTTTTAAAACGCCGCGGCACAAATTGTTAAAAATCGGAGCTGTCCCGCCAAAAGCGGGACGTCTGGTCACCTTACTGTAAGATGAAGGGGGAACTCCCGGAGGTACGCGGTAGAAAGGAAAGTAGGATGTTCCTGCCCTACTGTGTGTCTTAATATTTAACTTATTATGAGCTACCGTCCCAGTGGTTGTACACCTTTGCTGTTGCACACAGGAAGCCCGATCAGTCCCATCTCATGAAATTCGGCATTTACAGTTCTCTGAGGTAGGGGGAAAAGAAGTCAATATCATAGTAAGACTTCAAGGTCACGGTCTTTGAAAGTGGTTGCTTTAAAAAAAAATATATATATATATATTTTTAATTGATTTTTTATAGAGAGGAAGGGAGAGGGACAGAGTTAGAAACATTGATAAGAGAGAAACATCGATCAGCCGCCTCCTGCACACTCCCCACCGGGGATGTGCCCACAACCAAGGCACATGCCCTTAACCGGAATCGAACCTGGGACCCCTGGGTCTACAGGCCGATGCTCTATCCACTGAGCCAAACAGGTCAGGGCAATGGTTGCTTTAAGTAATTCCCTTGGAGAGAATTGGGGGATGGTGAGAGAGAGTGTTCCTGAGGCCTCAAGGTGAGAAGAAGCCAACAAGCTGTTGCTGATTTATCTCAATGTTGAAACGTAAAGAAATGTGACAGCTTCAGACTGGCAGATGAATTGTTCAACTGGAAGATGTGTCAGCCAGCGGTTCAATATTCCAGGTTTTTCCAAAGTAGCGGGGGGGGGGGGGGGGAAACACACAACATGTATACAAATAAGTTTTCTATAATTTAATAAAAATATAGGGCGTACTTTTTAAGAAGATGAACATTTTGCAAAAACCAGTTTTGTTTTACACAGGCTGCTTGTTGTGTGGGTGCTGGTGGTCACACACACACACACACACACACACACACACGCTCGCACACCCAGACCGTGAATCTCACAGCGCTGAAAACCCAGGGGTGGGCTGGAGGGCCGGCCCTCGGATCAGTGACTTCTGCCACCTCGAGACAGAAACGTCAGCAGTTTGTGAAGTCCGGAGAAAGGAAGTGGTGCCCTTGGCCAGTGCGGCTCAGTGGATAGAGCCTTGGGCCCTGGTCAGCATTGGGTGAGATGAGCCAGACGCGCCCTGGACGAACGAATCCAAGCACCAGACCAGTTTCCGGCCCCGATTTCCGCAGGCCAGGCTGAGGGACGCCACCAGTGCACAATGATGGCACCGGGCCTCTAGTTTTAAATAATAATAATAATAATGCTGCTATGAACATTTGTGTACAAGTCTTTGTGTGGGCATGTTTTCACTTCACTTTGGTACATACCTAGAAGTGGAATTGCTGGGTAACTGTGATGTTTGACTTTTTGAAGAACCACCTGTTTTCTTAGTCACTTGATTCGCAAACATATTTGCAGATTCCCATTTCAGATTGCTGGTGAACGGTGCCCTCTGCTGGAACTTCTTGGTTATTGCGATTGCTGTTGTACATTTCTCTTGACTCACGTCAGATGTAGGAAATGCGTGTGGAAATTCCCCTCGTGTACCATGCATGTCTCCCAGCTCCAAGGCTAGCTGGGAAAACACACACATACACACACACACACACACACACAAAAACAACACACACACACATGTTTCTTGAGTGTTCTTTCTTTTAATATATTTTTATTGATTTCGAAGAGGAAGGGAGAGAGAGAAAGAGAGAGAGAGAGAGAGAGAGAGAGAGAGAGAGAGAGAGAGAGAAACACCAATGATGAGAGAGAATCATTGATTGGCTGCCTCCTGTACACCCCCTACTGGGAATCGGGCCCACAACCCCAGGCATATGCCCCTACTGGGTATCGAACCTTGACCTCCTGGTTCATAGGTCAATGCTCAACCACTGAGCCACGCTGGCTGACCTCTTGAGTGTTCTTAAGCCTGCTTCCTGGAAGTATGCTATCTCATTGTGGTTTTTATTTGCATTCCCTGATAATTAGTGATATTGAGGACCTTTTCATATACCTATTGGCTATTTGCATATCTTCTTGAGAAAAAATAGCCCTTGACAATTTTTCCATTTACTTATATAATGCCTTATTTATATAAAACAAAAATGCTTTACTTAACTTTAAACTTTATATTTTCATGGAAAAAAATATATTTACCATTCAAACACAAAATGTCCATTTTATGCCCAGGAAAATAATGAGTACTATACAGTACAGTACGTGGTATATCTAGACCAGTGGTTCCCAACCTGGTTTTGGCCATGCATCTCTGATATCCTGATGTCCCTGTGACATATAATTCTAACTATTCAAAAAAGTGAACTCCTGCCGAAACCAGTGTGGCTCAGTGGATAGAGCGTCGTCTGCGGACTGAAGGGTCCCAGGTTCGATTCCAGTCAAGGGCATGTACCTTGGTTGCGGGCACATCCCCAGTGGGGAGTGTGCAGGAGGCAGCTGATCAGTGTTTCTCTCCCATCAGTGTTTGTGGCTCTCTATCCTTCTCCCTTCCTCTCTGTGAAAAATCAATAAAAAAAAAAATATATATATATATATATATATATATATATATATATATATATATATATATTTTAAGTGAACTCCTACTATTCACTGGAGGAAGCCTAAAAGGCCATGAACTTGGTCTAGATAAGCTTCCAAAGAACATAGCATCCACAAAAGAAAAATTAAAAAAAAAAAACACACGAAAGGACAGTTGAAGGACTGGGGGAGAAATCACTAACTGTTAAGATAATAATAATAATATGAAGTGACATAAAAAGTAGCAAATAAAGTTTCAAAATATAGAATTCTCTTCTCTTTTATTCAAGGCCTTTAAGGCTTCTTCCACGTGACTAGCTAGCTCACTTTTTAAAAAATATATTTTATTGATTTTTTTTCACAGAGAGGAAGGGAGAGGGACAGAGAGCCAGAAACATCGATGAGAGAGAAACATGGACCAGCTGCCTCTTGCACACCCCCTACTGGGGATGTGCCCGCAACCCAGGTATATGCCCTTGATCGGAATCGAACCCGGGACCTTTCAGTCCGCAGACCGACGCTCTACCACTGAGCCATACCGGTTTCGGCAGCTAGCTCACTTTTTGAATAATAACATTTATATGAGTGGAGGGCATCAGGATTTTAGAGATGCTTCGGTGGGGCATGGCCAACAAAGGTTGGGAACCGCTGCTCTAAAGGGTTACTGATTATTTGTTGAATAACGGAATAGAGCGTTGTTCTGGAATAGCCCCAGGAACATCCTTCCCATAAAAGCCAAGGAATGAGCCTGAGAGTTCTGAGTCTAAAAGTTCCGAGTCTGAAAGTTCTGTCTGCCCCAAGGACCACGGGGCAAGGCTCCATTCCCGAAAAACTGTGTTGACAAGGTGGCTGCAGATTCTTTCCAAAAATCGGGACTTTTTTTTTAAAACACCGCGGGATGTGGGACAGATTGTTAAAAATCGGGACTGTCCCGCCAAAAGCAGAATGTCGGGTCACCTTACTCTTAGCTCTTAGCCAGGCACATAGGAGATTCCTGATGCCCAGTCAGAGGGAGTCCAATAAGGACCTTAATATATATATGTGTGTGTGTGTGTGTGTGTGTGTGTGTGTATGTATATATGTATATATATGTTTTTATTGATTTTATAGAGAAGAAGAGAGAGAGAGGAAGGGAGAGAGAAACAGCAATCAGCTGCCTCCTGCACACCCTTTACTGGGGATTGAGCCCACAACCAAGGTACATGTCCTTGACCGGAATCAAATATGGGACCCTTCAGTCCAGCAGGCCGATGCTCTATCCACTGAGCCAAACGGGCTAGGGCTGTGCTGGTGTTTTATGGTCTAACTGGGTAGGGCACAAGAGGCAGGCAGATGACGTGTACTGAGCAGTCAGACCAGACTTGACGGAAAACCTCACACCAAAGCCGAGGCTGCGAGAAATGTCCATGTTCTCAAAATAACCAAACCCCAGCTGTTGTCTGCTTTTGGTCTCTGTCTTCAGCCACTCTAGTGGTCCCTTCTCCTCATTGCAAGCTCATATTTCTCTAATTTTTAAAAAAATATATTTTGTTGGTTTTTTATAGAGAAGGGAGAGGGACAGAGAGTTAGAAACATCGATGAGAGAGAATCATTGATGAGCTGCCTCTTGCACACCCCCTACTGGGGATGTGCCCGCAACCAAGGTCCATGCCCTTGACCGGAATCGAACCCGGGACCCTTCAGTCCGCAGGCCGACGCTCTATCCACTGAGCCAAACCGGTTTTGGCATATTTCTCTAATTTTTAAAAAACCAGCTATCCCTATCCAGTCTGGCTCATTGGACGGAGCATAAGCCTGTGGACTGAAAGGTCCCGGGTTCGATTCCGGTCATGTGGGAGGCAACCAATCCATGGAGCTCTCTCACATCGATGTTTCTCTCTGTCTCTCCCTGTTCCTTCCACTCTAAGGATCAATGGGAAAATATCCTTAGGTGAGGATTAACAAAAACAAAAATAAACCGAAACCGGTGTGGCTCAGTGGATAGAGCATCAGTCTGCGGACTGAGAGGTCCCGGGTTCGATTCCAGTCAAGGGCATGTACATTGGTTGCTGGCACATCCCCAGTGGGGGATGTGCAGGAGGCGGCTGGTTGATGTTTCTCTCTCTCTCATCGACGTTTCTAGCTCTCTATCCCTCTCCCTTCCTCTCTGTGGAAAATCAATAAAATATATTTAAAATAATAATAATAATAATAAGTAAAAACCAGCTGAGCAATCAGAACAACTCTTCCTTCCTGCTTTCATGCTGCTCCTTCGCTGCTGGGGGCAACCAGGCCCCAGGTCAGTGGATAGAGGGTCAGCCTGCGGACTGAAGGGTCCCGGGTTCGATTCTGGGCATGGGATGTCTACCCTTGCGGCTTTCACACGTCCCCTCTCATTCACATCCCGGTTCTTCCCAGCGCCATTCACCAAATGGCTTCTCAATCCCCCGGCTTCAACGGGCCCATCTTCTTCCTCATCGTACGTGACTTCTCCGTGGCATCCGCGCGGACGTATCCCTCCTTCTGGAAATTCTTTAACCCTCCGGTTCCTACAGAAAGAGGGCTACGCTCCTCTCTCTTTCTCTGCCTGATCCTTCGATGTTGGGGCGACCAGGCTCCATTCCTCAGCCACCCCTTTTCTCCTTCTGCACGGGCTCCTGGAAACCTCCCTCGTGGTCTCTTGGTTGCGATAATTCTGCAAAAGAGAGGGAATTATCGCCCTGGCCAGTGTGGCCCAGTGGATAGAGCGTCGGCCTGCAGACTGAGGGGTCCCAGGTTCGATTCCGGTCAAGGGCATGTGCCTTGGATGAGGGCACATCCCCAGTGGGTGGAGTGCAGGAGGCAGCTGATGGATGATTCTCTCTCATCATGTTTCTAGCTCTCTATCCCTCTCCCTTCCTCTCTGTAAAAAATCAATTTTATATATATATATATATATATATATATATATATATATATATATATATGTTTATAAAATTTTTTTTAAAGGAGGGAGGGCAGGCAAGCCTAGAACAGAGGACCGACCCCAACAAGGACCAATTCCCCCAGGGGCTGCGCCAACTGACTGACCTCTGACCGGCGGGCTCCGGAATGCAAGAGGCGCCACTCACTTCATGCAAAAGCATCTCATGCACAAGGTGGCCGGGCCTGCAAGCGAGTGACCTGCCCGAGCACAGCTCAGTCCCTCCCGGCGGCTCTACGTCCAGGGACCTGAGGTCTCCCAACCACCACGAATGGGCTTTTGGTGGTCCTGCCAGGTCCAAGTTCGAATCCCCCGCGGAAACCGGTTTGGCTCCGTGGCTAGATAGAGCGTCAGCCTGCGGGACGCTGGATTCTGGTCAAGGGCATTGGACCAAGTTCGAATTCCGCCTGTGCACTCTCCGGGGTGCGGGTCTCCACTGCTGCCTGGCTCAGTGGCTACAGCGTCAGCCTGCGGACTGGAGGGTCCCGGGTTCGATTCCGACCAAGTGCATTGGACCAAGTTTGAATCCCTCCTGTGTGCCCTCGGGGACGGGTCTCCACTGCCCGGCTCAGTGGATAGAGCGTCAGCCTGCGGACTGGAGGGTTCCGGGTTCGATTCCCATCAAGGGCCTTGCACCAACTTCGAATCCCGCCTGTGCCCTCGGGGGCGGGTCCCCACTGCCTGGCTCAGTGGATAGAACGGATAGAGCATCAGCCTGTGGACTGAAAGGTCCCGGGTTCTATTCCAGCCAAGGGCATGCACCAAGTTCGAATCCTGCCTGTGCCCTGGGGGGGGGGGGGGGTCTCTCCTGCTGCCCGGCTCAGCAGACTGAAAGGTCCCGGATTCTATTCCAGTCACGGGCATTGGACCAAGGTCACGGGCATTGGACCAAGTTCGAATCCCTTGCGGAAACCGGTTTGGCTCCGTGGCTAGAGCGTGAGCCTGCGGGACAGAAAGGTCCCGGGTTCGATTCCGGTCACGGGCATGCACCAAGTTTGAATCCCGCCTGTGTGCCCTCTGGGGCGGGTCTCCACTGCTGTCCGGTTTAAGGGGCAGGCCCGGGGCGGGGACCCGGCCAGGGGGCGCCGAGCTGCAGCGCAGTGGCCTCTCCAGCCGCCCGACGGGGGTTTGGGGGGCGGGGGGGCTGCCGGGCGGTGATTGGCTGGGCCGCGCGGGCAGCTCGGGGCCCCGAGAACAAAAGAGCGCGGCGGCGGCGCTCCCTCCCGCCCGGCCGGCCGGCGCGGGCTCGGCGCTGCGAGGAGGACGCGCCCACCGCCCGCCCGTTCCCCGCGCAGCACGGCCGGCGGCGGGCGCGCTCCGGGCCTGGGCGGAAGCGGCCGCGGACCCGGGACTCGGCGGGCGGGCGGCGGGCGGGGCGGGGGCTGCGCGCGCGAGAACAGCCCTCGATCGCGGCCGCGGCTGCCGCCGCCCGGGGAGGCGCGAGGCCGGCCCGCCGCGCCCGGAACCGTGAGGAGAACCGGGAGGAGATCCGTGAGGAGAATTGTGAGGAGAACCGGGAGGAGAACCGGGAGGGAACCGGCATGAAGCAGGCGGCGCGGCGGCCGTGAGCGCGCGGCGACCGGACCGTGATTTGCGGGCCGCCGCTGTCTCGTCCCCGCCCGCCCGACCAACCGACCGGTCGCCCGAGACCCCCGTCGGCCCCCGCGCGGCGGGGACGCGGCCCCCAAGGACGTCCGCGAAGGCGAGGCGGCCGACATGGCGCGCCCGCGGCCCCGCGAGTACAAGGCGGGCGACCTGGTGTTTGCCAAGATGAAGGGCTACCCTCACTGGCCGGCGCGGGTGAGTACATGTTCCCCTCCATGATGGCGCGCCGCCGCCCCCTTTTCCTCCTTCGTTTTCCCCTTCGTCCCCGTCGCCTCACTGGCCTGCAGGCCGCCGCCGCCGCCGCCGCCCGGGCGCCCCGCGCTGAGGGGACCCGGCGCGGCCCCGGGGGCGTCCGGCGGGGTCGCCAGGGGCGCGCGCGCGCGCGTGCGCGGCAAATGGCGGTCCGCGCGCGCCGGCCCGGGCGGTGTCACGGCGAGGCCAGCGCGGTCAGCATCCTCCGCCATCCGGACCTGTGGAGCCGCCCCCGGGCGCGAAGCCGGGGCCTCGGCGCGCCCAGCCTCGCCCCGGGGCCGGGCCGCCCTGTTGGCCTCGCGCCCTCGGGCCGGGGTGGGGGTCGGGGGGTGGGGGGCTCCGGGACTCCCCGAGCGCCTCGTCCCCTCCATGTTGGTTGGAGGTCGTTGGTCCCAGACCCGGGCCGGGCCCTCGGCCGCCACGGGGTTCCCGGGCCTCGGCGGCACGGGCTCCCTCCCTAGAAAGCATCAGCCTCTGATGCAGGCATGGCATCCGCCTTTTTGTTTTATTTTATTATTTTTTTTAGGAGGCCGTGTGTGTGCTTTGTGGTGTTTTCTTTTTTTTTTTTAAGCTAAACCCATTTTATTTTATTTTATTTTATTTTATTTTATTTTATTTTGTTCTGTGATCGTTGTCTTGGAATAAGACACAGGGAAGAGGGGAGGGTCTCAAGGCAACTTGGGGATGTGCGTTGGGTGTCCTTGAGTTCGAGACCCAGACCAGGAGATGGGGTGCATGGGAGGGTGAGCTCCAACATGGGTGTGTTTTCACTCTCTTTTTTTCTCTCTCTTCCTTTTTGTTTTGGAAAGAGAGAGAAAATACAGCCCATTCAAAAGAGGAAGTGACATCATATGGGTGGTCAGATAGCCAGTTTGGTCAAGTTGAAGGAATGGGTGGACATAATCAAGTGGGTTTGGTTTGGGGTTTTGTGTTGTTTTGGTTTTTTTTGTTTGTTTGTTTGAGGATTTTTTTTTTAATTTTGGACTTAATTTGTCATGATTGTAAAAAAAAAAAAAAAAACACGGGGGGGGGGAGGACACTGGTATCTCTGATCTGGGCTCCTCATTTCAACTGTCTGAATATCCATTTCTGCAAAAAAGAATTATCGCCCTGGCCAGTGTGGCTCAGTGGATAGAGCATCGGCCTGCAGACTGAGGGGTCCCAGGTTCGATTCCTGTCAAGGGGATGTGCCTTGGATGTGGGCACATCCCCAGTGGGTGGAGTGCAGGAGGCAGCTGGTCGATGTTTCTCTCTCATCCATGTTTCTGGCTCTCTATGCCTCTCCCTTACTCTCTCTGAAATCAATAAAATATATTTTTTAAAAAGACAGGCAGAGAGAGAGAGAGAGGGAGAGAGAGAGAATTATCCATCTCTAGGATTCCCTCCACCACTTACCACCTCAGATTTCCAGCGGGAAAAGGGTTTCTATTCGGGTCCCATCAGGCTATGCAAATAGCTTTTCTCCATCTCTGCCCGGTGGGTGGTGCTTAAAGAAGGCCCAGTTTTCATGGTGGAACATGGTGATGTTCATGGTGTGGTGCCAAGCTGTTTTCAAGAGGCAAGATTTGTGACTCCAGGCGTTGTTGGATTCCTGAATGTATTTATCATGAAATGGACAGCTAGCCGAAACCAGTGTGGCTCAGTGGGTAGAGCGTTGGCCTGCGGACGGAAGGGTCCCAGGCTCGATTCCGATCAAAGTACGTTGGTTGCGGGCACATCCCCAGTAAGGAGTGTGCAGGAGGCAGCTGATTGATGTTTCTCTCTTGTCAATGTTTCTAACTCTCTATCCCTCTCCCTTCTTCTCTGTAAAAAAAAAAAAAATCAATAAAATGTTAAAAAAACAACAACAAATAAACAGCTATAGGGCACATGAGTTTAAACATAGTCAAAAGTGAATTAAAGATTGTCATCAGCTGTTATTTCCTTTTAAAACAATGGATTTTGGGTTATTTAAAATGTTTTCATTGATTTCAGAGAAGAAAGGAGGAGAGAGAGAAACATCAATGATGAGAGAGAGTCATCAATTGGCTGCCTCCTGCACGCCCCCACTGGGGATGTGCCCGCAACCTGGGCATGTGCCCTTGACTGGAATCAAACCTGGGACCCTTCAGTCCACAGGCTGATGCTCTATCCACTGAGCAACACCAGCTAGGGCCACAATGGCTGTCTTTAATCTTAAGAGAAATATTCTCAGAGTCAAAAAGAAAATAGTCTTAAAATCTCAAACAAACAAAAAAACATGGTGCCACAGAACTGGTCCTAGCTGTATGTCTGGTTGTACATAAAATTCCTAGAAGTTAGCATTCCAAACTAAGACAAAGTGGGAAAGAAAACTAAGGAATAAAATCTACTGGCTTGTTAGAGAAGATACAGTAAAAGAAAAATCTGCCAAAACCGGTTTGGCTCAGTGGATAGAGCGTCGGCTTGCAAACTGAAGGGTCCTGGGTTCGATTCTGGTCAAGGGCATGGACCTTGGCTGGGGGCACATCCCCAGTGGGGGGTGTGCAAGAGGCAGCTGACCAATGTTTCTCTCTCATCGGTGTTTCCAGCTCTCGGTCCCTCTCTCTTCTTCTCTGTAAAAAAACAATAAAAATATATTTAAGAAAAGAAAAGAAAAATCTATTTTCACATTTAACTTGGGCTTCTCGAGGAAAAGACCTGTGTGTGTGTGTGTGTGTGTTTGCTTCTTAGTGTGTTAGTTTATAGTGAGTGGCATGTTGTAATTTTCAAGGAAAGGTAAAGGTTAGAAAAAGAAAAATTTTGCTCTCTAGTCTTTGTTAGTTGCATTGCTGTGTGCTTCATATGTTATTATTTTGCATGCCAATTATATAAAACATTTTTTTCTATTTCACAAACCTAGCAGTAGGTTTGTAGGTGATATTATAAAAGTACTAAATGGAACAAATCCTATTCATTCAGATTTCAAATATTATCACTTCTTTTTAATACTTTTTTTATTTCAGAAAGGAAGAGGGGGAGAGAGAGATAGAAATATCAGTGATGAGCTGGGACCGGCTTGGCTCAATGGATAGGGCGTCGGCTTGGGGACTGAAGGGTCCCGGGTTCGATTCCGGTCAAGGGCATGTACCTTGGTTGTGGGCATATTCCCAGTGGGGGGTGTGCAAGAGGCAGCTGATCGATGACTCTCTCTCATCGATGTTTCTAGCTCTCTATCTCTCTCCCTTCCTCTCTATATAAAATCAATAAAATATATTTTAAAAAAAAAGAAATATCAGTGATGAGAGAGAATCATATACCCTGTTTCCCCGAAAATAAGACAGTGTCTTATATTAATTTTTGCTCCCAAAGTTGTGCTAGGTCTTATTTTCAGGGGATGTCTTTTTTTTTTAAATATATTTTATTGATTTTTATACAGAGAGGAAGGGAGAGAGATAGAGAGTTAGAAACATCGATGAGAGTCATTGATCAGCTGCCTCTTGCACACCCCCTACTGGGGATATGCAACCAAGGTACATGCCCTTGACCGGAATCGAACCCGGGACCCTTCAGTCCCCAAGCCGACGCTCTATCCATTGAGCCAAACCGGTCCCGGCTCAGGGGATGTCTTATCTTTCCATGCACTAGGTCCTATTTTCGGAGGATGTCTTATTTTCGGGGAAACACGGTAAATAAAATATACATATATATATATATATATATATATATATATATATATATATATATATATAATTTTTTAATTTTTATTTTATTATTATTTTTTTTAATAAGAAGCCCCTGTCAACATGTACCCACGCCCATGGAAGTTCCCTCACACCTCTTTCCAGTTGATTCCTGTGATCCTCTCTGTTCACATATTCTTATTTTAACATCAAAACATGGCTGTTTTGAATAGACTCGAGTATATTTTATTGGCTGTGGCTTTTCAAATTAGAAGTTCATTTATACATAAAGGTTACCTAGCTAAATACTGATGGTCAAACAAGTGTCTGAACCCTCTTGATTGTGTACACTGTTGATAAAACATTTTTAAAAAATCAAGCATGCATCCCAAATATGTGTCAATTCACTTTACAGTTACATACACTTGTATTTGGTGCTGTTGTGTGCATTATAAAATCCAAAAAGAAATAAAAGGACCCCAGCTGGGTTGGCTCAGGGGATAGAGTGTGGGCCTGGGAACTGAAGAGAGGGTCAGGCCGAAACCGGTGTGGCTCAGTGGATAGAGCGTCGGCCTGCGGACTGAAAGGTCCCAGGTTCGATTCCGGACAGGGGCCATGTACCTTGGTTGCGGGCACATCCCCGGTAGGGGGTGTGCAAGAGGCAGCTGGTCGATGTTTCGCTCTTGTCGACGTTTCTAGCTCTCTATCCCTCTCCCTTCCTCTCTGTAAAAAATCAATAAAATATATATTTTTTAAAAAAGAAGAAGAAGAAGAAGAATAGAGGGTCAGGATTTGATTCCAGTCCAGGGCACATGCCCAGTTTCAGACTCGATCCCCAGTAGGGGGGCATGCAGGGGGCAGCCGATCAATGATTCTCATCAAACCCAGGACCCTTCAGTCCGCAGGCCGACGCCCTATCCACTGAGCCACACCGGCCAGGGGGAACAGCTGGACTTTTCTTGAGCAGCTCCTGTGACATGATTAAAATGAAAGTGTTTCCTTATCCTTTGTTGACATATAAATCCCGATTGGAAATCCTCCATTCGTGATCCACAGCATTTTGATTTTTTTTTCTTTTTCTCCTTTTGGTAATAAATTCCTGGACGGTGAGACTTTATTCCTAGAGATCAGACTCCGTATTTTCAGGGAATCAATTGGGACTTACATTATTTTTAATATTAATGAGATGTAAGATGTTTATAATCTCTGTGACTTTGGCCTGCGTCCACAGAAGGTGCATCGTTGGTGCATTCCTCGGGTGGAGTGACAGGCCGCTCAGCCTGTGCCCCAGGGACCGTGTTCCTGTTGCCAGGGAACCGGCAG